GGAGGCCTGGAACCATGGAAGCCACTCAAGCCCTTCCCAACTCAGTTTTGACAATGTGCAGTGAGTCATCTCTTAAAAGTTTGTGTTGCCTCAGTCTTCCTCTGTCTGGGGGACTGGTGTCTGAGTGAGCTGAACGCTTCTGGTTCTTTTTTGTTGGTTGTAGCCAAGCACAGGATGAAACCAACATTCCTTCTTCCCAAGGGCCCAGGCTCTGGGCTTCGACTGCCAACTGCTGCTGCTTGGTGGCCCATGAGACTGCAGAGCTGGCAGGGAGAGCCCCAAGAGAAATAATGCCACGTGGAGGACAAGCATCTGTTCTTACAGGTGTCCTGTTCTCTACTCCAAGGCACTGGTGCAGCTCTGTGCCCCTAACCTTATAGATTCCAGTGGGGAGGTGATGATGGTATTAAAAACTCCCAGTGTGGAACACAGAAGGGGACCCTAAGAAAATGTATCCTCACTTCATATCCCATGTCTCCAGAATGATTGCTTTCGTCCTTGGATTCAGATCTCGACTCTTGCTCTTTGGTGCTTTCTTAATGTCCCTGAACTTTGGTGACCTCAGTGAGAGGATGATAGTATTAGCTCCACAGAACCTTCTCCTAAGCTGGCTTACTGCTCATCCCTTGGGTGGGCCCTTGGCCTTCGGATGCACGCCCATGGCACTGCCTGCCTCCACCCGCCACAGTGCTCCCCCCAGGACTCTCTGCAGCTTTAGAAGAGTAGCTGGTTTTGATCTGCGGTACTTCCTGAGGTCCTAGCAGAATTTCTCGCTAACACTATGTGTTCCCAACTAAAAGCAGACCCCACTTCTAGAGCGATGTTCTACCTGAATGCGCTTCTTCACTCTACGTTAGAATTACTTGAGTTTGAATCAATGAGTGTGACTGATTTGTTTTCCCGAAAGTGATCATTCTTTCTCTGTTTTTGTTTTGTTTTCTTCTTCTTCCTTTTCGAGCTGAAAGAAGTACTGGTTTTAGTTGGTTTGTAGAGACACAGAGCACACTCCAGTGGTCTGTGCCTTAAATGCCCACGATAGTTAGGATTGGGTCAGGCCAAATCCAGAGGTCAAGAGTTGAATCCGCATCTCCCATGGGGATGACAAGAATCCAGATACTGGAGCCATTACGACTGCCTCTGAGGCGGGAAGCCGCAGCCAGGTGCCGAAACCTGGAATTAAGCTCAGGTACTCCAGCATAATCTTCAGTTATCTTAACATGTTAACTCTTAGAAGTTCAGGTTTTGGGGCCCAACAGTTAACATACCATTGGAACGTCCACATTTTGTATCAGAGTGCCTACATTCAAATTCTGGCTCTGCTTCCAATCCCGGCTTCCAGCTTATGTATGCCTTGGAAGCCTACAGGTGATGGCTCAAGTACTTGGGTCCTTGTATCCACATGGGAAATCTGGATTAAGTTCCAGACTTTTGACTTTGACCTTTGACCTGGCCCAGCCCAGATGCTGTGGGTATTGGGGGGGAGGGGAGAAAGCCAGAAGGTTTCTCTCTCTCCTTCTCCCTCTTTCTTTCTTCCTCCCTACCTTTCAGCTAAATGAGAAAAGAAAAGAAATTTTGGCTTTTATTCCATATCGGTAGAGTTCTGGAAAGCTTATGCTTAGGTAATTGTTGTATGTGTCTTTAAAACAAAACTAGTCACTTATCTTGGAATCTTCGAAAGGCAGATTTACAGAGAGAAAGACAGAAAGATCCACTGTTCACTGATTCACTCCCCAAATGGCCCCAACAGCCAGAACTAAGCCAGTCCAAAGCCAGGAACTTCTTCCGGGTCTCCCACGCAGGTGCAGCGTCCCAAGGCTTTGGGCCATCCTCAACGACTTTCCCAGGCCACAAGCAGGAAGCTGGATGAGAAGTGGAACAGCCAGGACATGAACTTGCACCTTTATGAGATTCCAGTGCATGTAATACAATTATTTAGCCACCGAGCCATTGTGCTGGGCCCATATGTCCCTTTATGATCTGCTTTCTATTTAAGGGCAGTTGTCAAAATGCGATCAGAAGAATCAAATTGTGGTTTCATCAGGGACTCCTTAGCTTTATCCTCTTTGAGTCAGTGGGCTTTGGTAAGGAGCAAGAGAACACAAGATGAGAGATGTCAAAAATGAGCACCTGTTAGAGCCTGGCTGGGCGGTGGGGGGAATGTCAACTTGAACTTTACCAGCTGTGCCCCAACTCCTTTTTCCTGGAATCCACATCAATTCTGATCTTCCAAATGCCCTACCTTAGCACCACCATAACTTCCATCGCTGAGCTCAGAGCTCACTGCTGAAGATTAGAGCAGAGATGTCGTAAATGACACCTCGAGGGGCAAATGGGCATGGGCACAAGGCCCAGGAAAATCCGAGGTTTTATGTTCAGACCGCATCATTACACCTCTACCTGGGTTGCATGAACGTGGCACTAATCCTGAAAAGCTTCTTTTGTGCCATGTCTAAGAGGCTGAAAGCATTGAATCTCATGGAAGTGCTGGACACCAGAACATTATGTATGTGGCCTGTTAGGCCACAAAAATCACATCACATTTGTTTCCACTTCAGAACTTCAATCAGCCTTTCCCTGGCGGACCACCTGGTACCCCAGTGTAGCTTGGTATCATGCTGTGTACCAAAGCCCAACGTTCTCTCTCAGAGCTTAGAATGTCACAGAAATCAGTGACCTGCCCTGGTCAGTATAGGTTCTTCCTCTTTGTCACTTCAAGTCTGCTCTCCTGAAGTCAAAACGCAGCAGAACTCGTGTGTGGGGTCTTGGCCTACACTGCTCTCTCACCCATCTTTCTTTGTCAAATCCGTGACATCCCTGTGCAGGAACACGCACAAACTTGGTGATGAAAATACGACTAACCATCAGTATGTGTTTCACCCGTATTTGCTGCACACTGCTGATACGCTAAGCCCAAGGAAAGGAGGAAGGCCGAGGTACCCATGCCCTTCCGTGAGCGTATGCATGTAATTTCACTTGGCACTCAGAAGTCCCTAGACAATGACCTTGATCTCTCCTTTAAAGACCAGGAAATACACTCTGAGTAGTTGCACAGCTTTTCTGGGCTCATTCAGCCAGTCACTGGTGGAATCTAGCAGGTAGTACAGTGGAAAGACTGAAAAAGAAATGCTTGTCTCCTCTGGCCAAGCTCGAGACAGGAAGGAGCATCCGGAATGACAGTAAGAAGGGCAGTCAGAACTGCTGCAGATCGAAAGAGAACCTTTGGTTCAATGAGAGTTTGGGTGTCCCCCAAAGGGCCTTGTGTTGAGCGCTTGATCCCCAAATCTTTTTGTGGGATTTTGTTTATTTGGAAGGCAGAGTGGCCAAGGGAGAGACAGCATTTAGAGATTAAAATCTTGCATCTGCTGCTTTCTGTTTAAATAGCTGCAACAGCCGGCTGGACCAGCCCAAAGCCAGGAACCTAGAACTCCATCGTGGTCTTGAGAGACAAAGACCTTCCGTCTGCTGGTTCACTCCCCAAGTGGCTGCAATGGCCAGAGCTGAGCTGATCCAAAACCAGGAGCCAGGAGCTCTTCCAGGTCTCCCATGTGGGTGCAGGGTCCCAAGGCTTTGGGCCATCCTTGACTGCTTTCCCAGGTTACCAGCAGGAAGCTGGATGGGAAGCAGGGCCCATATGAGATCCTGGCACATGCAAGATGAGGACTTGAGCTGCTAGACTATTGTGCCAGGCCCGCTGAGTATTTTTTTTTTTTTTGGTAGAAATAAAATACTAAAAGTAATAAAACACTATATTGAAATTGAAATACAGTGTTTTAAGGTTTTCAAAAATGCTTGCATCCATAGTGGTACTCAAAAGTAGGATAATTAGAAAACATCTGTGATACCAGAGCAGGAATGGTAGAATTTTAAGAAAGATCACCCTCTTGGAACCAGAATTGTGGTGTAGTGGGTACATTTGCACCGCCTCAGTGCTGGCATCCCATATGGGCACAAGTTTGAATCCTGGCTACTCCACTTCCAGCCAGCATCCTGCTGTTGGCCTAGGAGAACCAGCAGAACATGGCCCAGCTATTGGGTTCCTGCCACCCACCCACATGGGTCCCTGGCTCCTGACTTTAGCCTGGCCCAACCCCAGCTGTTGTGGCTATTCGGAGAATGAAGCAGTGCATAAAAGATCTCTCTCTCTGTCTCTCTTGCTCTCTCTTCCCCCACCCCTGACCCCTTTCAAATGAACAAACAGAAAGGGAAGAAGGCAGGAAAGAAGGCCACCATGTTATAATGCAGTGCACTGACTCGGGGTTGTGGCTGGGTTCTCAGAGCACTGGGTGCGGGAGCTGGGAGCCGGGCATCACTTGGAGGCAAAGGGAGGAAGTTACTGTGGGGAACGTGTGCCCTCACATTGGAAAGATGGGTGAGACCGCGCCCCCAACCCTTGCAGTTAGGCTCGGTCCTCTGCTTTCCCAGAAGGGTGTAGCCTCACCCATAGGGTGTCCCTCTTCAGCGCACAGTATTAGCTGTGCATCCAACTGTGGATACAGTAAGTCCACAAGGCGAGGAGCTCTGCAGAACAGGAGCCAGACGATCTCAGACCGAACCCCAGGTCTGCCTAAGAGATGCCAGGCTCTGAAGAGAAGAACCGCTTGAGAGCTAAGTCAGAGTCTCCATCACATTCCCAGTCGGGTTCTCTCTTCCCTTGACCCGGTTGGGGTTCCAGTGACAAAGCAAGTGAACACCGCTTAGCTGGAGAAGTAGCCATGGCCAGGCAGGCTTCTTCCTGCTGCTCAGTGAACTTCTGTCCTCTCCCAACAGCATCCTTTCCTGACCTCCACAAATCGCAGCGTTTTTTGAGTTTCCATCGCCCCTTGGTTATTTCCCAGAGAGGAGGGTGGTCACCTCGGGGTGCTCTGCGCTTGCTCCTCCTGTCGCCCGATTCCCCCAGGAACTCAGCCGAGCTTACGGGTGGATTCTAGGAGCAGCACCTCTCCTGTCATCCTGTGGCCGTCATTCAGCCTCAGACCTCGGCCCCTCTGTTCATCTTGCAGGGTCAAGCGTGAACGGCCTGGAGGAGCCGAGCATTGCCAAGCGGCTGAGGGGCACCCCTGAGCGCATTGAGCTGGAGAACTACCGCCTGTCCGTGAGGCAGGCGGAGGAGCTGGAGGAGGTGCCCGAGGAGACGCAGGCCGAGCACAATCTGAGCAGCGTGCTGGACAAGGGCACTGAGGAAGATGTGGCCAGCAGGTAAGTCTGCCCAGGAAACAAGCTTACCTGGGGGGCGGAGGGGAACAGCAATTTGTTATAGCTTGGGATCCAAACCAAACTGTCTCAGCTTGATTCTTGGCTCTTCTGCTCACAACCCGTTAAATACATTCTGTGTGCCTCTGTTTGGGAATGAGATGAGTACCTTTCTCCCAGAACCCACGAGAGGGGTAAGCAAGCTGGTTGCAGTATATGCCACAGTGCTTTGCGTGTGTAAGCACCTGTACGTTACTCAGCCATGGGCCGGTAGGCATCCTGCCCACCGTGCCCTTGTCCTATCCTGCATGCAAGAACTCTGCCGAATGGGCAGCAGTGCGTATTCATTCTCTTAGAGGTAGGAACACTGATGGGGACTAAAACTCGAGCCAAGATTCAGTCAGCTTTCCTAGGTGTAAGCCAAGAGGCTAAGGGCCTCGCATCTTTGTCTTTTTAGCCGGGAGGGATCGCACCCATTGGACTTAATTCACAGACTCGGTATTTGCTGAACATCTACCATGTCCCTAGCGTGCTGTAAGTCATTAAGAAGGTTAACAGAAAAACACTAAGCCACAGATTTCGCCATCAAGCTGTTTACAAAGCCATTGGTGGGATGAGACTGAGGCGTGGGGTGGACAGTAAAGTTAAGCAGTGGCCGCTGGGGAGCAGTCCCCACGGGGGAGCACCGCAGCCCAGTGGGAGGCAGTTTACCCCCAGTGTACCCTGCAGTCCTGGGGAGGCCACTGTGCCTCTGTGGGCTGCTTTTGCTCTCCTGTAAATAGAGGGGCAGACAGGCCAACCCCAGTGTTCCGTTCTGATTAACCAATGGGGGAGGGGGAAACATACTCCCAACCCTCCCCCCACCCACTCCCAACAACCCAGTGTCACAGCTGGCTTGTGTGCCAGAACCTCCAGGGTCCACGCACAGCAGCCGGAAGTGCAGGGGAAACCCGTGCAGGGTGCGGGGGGAGCAGCCCCAACAGGGCAGCTTCAGGCTGATGCTTGAGAACATCAGAATCCTGGACCAGACTCCTCAGTCTGCGGTGATGAAAGGAACACAGGGGAATAAAGAAAACAGAAAGTGGTTTCTCATTGTTTTAAGGCCCAAGAATGTTTCCCTGAGTGTGTTTGCTGGCCACTACTACTTCCGGCTGCGTTCCACCCCCTCAGCCTTGGCATTGGATGTGCCCTACAGGAAACAAGCACTTCTCAGGCTGACCCCGGGGCGCAGCTCCCCCCTGCTACCTGCAGTCCCATCGTTGTCACATATCTCAACAGGTCTGGTCAGAGCACCCATGAAGGCTGCACCCACCCTGGTGCACTGCAGGGAGGGGCCGCTGGTGGCGGGGGGTGGGGTCCCAGCTTGTTAGGAACCGCTGGCAGAGGGATGGCTTGACTTGGGGTGAGTAGGGCTCAGTACCGCTTCAAGGACCATCACAGCTTTGCCTCGCCAGAATTGATCAAGTGTGAAAGGCAAGGGGCAGCAGGTGGCTAGCCCGGGCATTCCCAGAAGGGTAGAATTAGAGCATTTAGAGAAGGGTCAGCAGCAGCATGGGATGGGCACCTGTCATCTTTGCAGTGCAGGAAACTTCCCCGTCTCACTTAAATTTGAATCTAAAAGCACCATGCGATGCTCTGCGGAGTGACAAATGGCCTCTCAGAAGCAGAGTCCCAGGGAGGCAGGTGCACTGGGAAGCTGGAAGATGCAAGAACTGTACCCCATATATTTTTTTCTTCTTCTCTGTAGCACCAAACACACATGGCTGTGTACCATTTTCAACTCTTGGTTCTTTGATGGGTTGTTAGACTGCAAGATGAAAAACAGTGTAGCTTTTTTTTTTTTTCTCTTTAATGATTTGGTTTATTTATCGGAAAGGTGGAGTGACCAGACCTGGTGCAGTAGCTTAGTGGCTAAAGTCCTCGCCTTGCATGGGCCAACATCTATATGGATGCTGCTTCGTGTCGCTGCTGCCCCACTTCCCATCCAGCTCCCTACTTGTGTCCTGGCAAAACAGTCAAGGATGGCCCAAAAACCCGGAGGAAGACCTTGGCTCCTGGCTTTGGATCGGCTCAGCTCTGACTATTGCAGCCACTTGGGGAGTGTATCATCAGGGAAAAGATCTTTCTATTTCCTTCTCTGTGTAAATCTGACTTTGCAATTTAAAAAATAAATTAATTAATTTTTTAAAAAAAGGCAGAGTGACAGAGAAAGATGAGATATAAAAAGATCTTCATCCGCTCTCCCCAGATGGCTGTGACAGTCTGAGCCTGGAGTTTCTTTTAGGTTTCCCCTGGGGGTGTCAGGGCCCTACGCACTCAAACCATGTTTGCACTGCTCTCCCAGGCACATGAGCAGGGAACTCTAGGGAGTTCGCAGGTGTCTGCCACAGGAGGCCACATGCCTGTTTTAGAACAAGGCTTTGGTGCAACCAGCATTGTGGCAGACCCAGGAATTCTCACACTGCTTTCCTGGAGCAGGTGGGTCAAGTGCCAGAAAATCGGTCTTGGCTCACACTGGCCACATTCTGGGCCATCGGAAGCAGACTCTCCACCTCCGCCCTGATTGTCATGGCACCGAGGCGTTAGCTGAGCTCTGGGGCAAAGCCTGCAATCATCCACGTTGAAACAGGTGCCCTGGTGATGCTGTGGTCCAGAGACTGCGCTTTTCCAGATTCTCCCGGTGACAAATACTGCCTGGCAAGCATGCGAAAAATAGTGATTCCTGGGCCCTGCCCTGCAGAAGGAATTGTTGGGGTGAAGGCGGGGTGTCTGTCTGTGATGCCCACCCAGGTGAGTCTTACCACGGGGTTCCTGGCGTCAGTTAGACAAGGCCTTTAAAGCCCAGCCTTATCACAGACTCTCAAGGAGGTGGGGCTGTCGTCTGGAGACCTGGAAACTGAGCGTCCGTTCTCTGTGGCGAGACCAGTTGGCCAGGTCACACAGAACTCACCTTGGGATTTCACCATCATTTCTCCCCCGACTGCCTGTGCTGAAGAACTTGGCCTGGGAAACGCAAGGGTTGGGTGCAGCCCCGGTACCTGACTGCTGATGCTGCTGCCCAGGTCTGGAACCTTACCTCCGGTGAAAATAGCACCGTAGGAGAAAGCCACTCCTTCGAGGCTAGTCTTGTCTCTGCTGCGTCCTCTCTGCCCGCCATTCCAGCAGTCAGCAGTGCGAGCGAGGCTTACTGAGCAGGGTGCTGCTCCCAGCCTGGGTTGCATTTGGTTAGGCAAGGAGTGCTGAACAGCATCTGCCTTCCAGCCACCTGCTTAGCACTGGCACATTCACACGGTTTGTGCAGGGGACCCAGGGCGTGGCTGGGCAGGACAGAAGAGCACAGTCTGTCTTCTTGAATGTACTCCCCCAAGGTACTCTGCCCCGTTTGCAGCAGAAACTACTTGTTTGAAGCCCCATGCTCTCCACTTGCTGAGGTCTGGTCCAGGCAGCCAGGAGGTCAACCGTGACCTTCATCCTGAACAGTTGTCAGGGGGTAGAGAACCCTCGTGTAATTGGAAAACCATGAGAGGGCACAGCGGGCATGCTGTGGGCACAGCTAGGAATCCTGCCTTCTTGCGTACGTGGGCTGAGGTCCTGAGGCTCCCCTGAAGGCACTGGTAGCTTCACCCCGGAGTGTTCTGTAGCCAGGTGAGCCAGTCCGCACGTTCCACGCATCGTGGCAGGGCTGGCAGCCCTCCCTGGCACTGCTGCTGGGTGCTGTCCTCTCGCTGCCTTTGCTGGGACTGAAGCAGAGCAGATCCATCTTATTGTAATCTAGTCTACATGCGTCCTGTCTGTTCCCTCTGCCGGGCCCTGGCCCTGTCGGTGCCTCGATCAAAAGACACAGGAAGGAAAAGTCAAGGAGATGCTTTAAGATGCCGGGTTGAGTATGGCTAACAGCAGGAAGGGGTCTCTGCTGGATCTTGTTCCAGCTGCAGGGAGCGGCACCTCGTGATGGAGGCTTCGCCAGGGCAACCGGCCTGGCTTTCATGGTTTGTGAGCCTGTCTTGGCGGTGCTGGGGGCACAGCAGCCCGACACCTGCTCTCAGGAGCACTGCGGTACCACACAGGGCAGTGCATCGTTCCCAGTGTGAGAATGAACACCTGTTTGGACAAAGAGGATCTTGATGACCATGTGTTCTTGCCCTCACTCTCCTGGGAGGCTCGTCTTTCCGCCCAGAGCTAGAAAACCAAATGGATTGTCTACACTGTTTTATTTTTTGTTTTGTTTTATTTTTTTTCCTGCTGTAGGCATCCTTCTACTTGAAAAGTTTCCAGGCTGGGGCCCGGCGTGACAGCCTAGCAGCTAAAGTCTTTGCCTTGCACATGCTGGGATCCCATATGGGTGCCAGTTCTAATCCTGGCAGTTCCACTTCCCATCCAGCTCCCTGCTTGTGGCCTGGGAAAGTAGTCAAGGACGATCCAAAGCCTTGGGACCCTGCACCCGCGTGGGAGACCCAGTAGAAGCTCCTGGCTTCTGGCTTCGGGTTGACTCAGCTCCAGCCGTTGCAGCCACTTGGGGAGTGAACCATCGGACGGAAGATCTTCCTCTCCATCTCTCCTCCTCCTCTCTGTATATCTGCCTTTCTAATAATAAATAAATCTTTTGAGAGAGAGAGAGAGAAAGGAAGGAAGGAAGGTAGAAAAAAGAAAGAAAAGGTTCCAGGCTGGACCCCAAGGGGTCTGTCTGGGTGCAGCCTCCTCCCCTAGCATCCTGGTGGTCACCCCCAAGAGATTCAGGTGCTGGGGGCCATCAGGCAGCGTCATGGACTCCCATGCGATAGGGCCTCGGGTGGAGCAGTAGACAACCCCTGCCAGAGGGCGTCCATCTGCCTCGGCTCTCCAGAGGGCGTCCATCTGCCTCAGCTCTCCAGAGCGAGTCCCGAGGCCTCGGGAACAGGCTTAGCCCGGGACCTCTGAGGACAGGCAAGGCGTGTGTTGCTCTCCCTGCCCTCTTGCTCCTTGAGCAGCCGGAAAACCAGCCCGGGGGACGGAGCACAGGGAGGAGATGCCCTGTCCCTGTCCCAGATGTGCATTCACTGGCCTCAGCAGCGACGCACGCATCCTCATGACCTGGCATGGGAGGACAAGGCCGCGTTACACACCAGCCCTCCTGCACGAGGCTGCCGTGCCAGGCAGCTGCTGTGACGCCTAGGGCCTCCTTGAACAGGCCACGGGCGCACCCAGGCCTGGAGGAGGGACAAGGTGGCCTCCCCTGTGCCTGCTGATGGTTTAAGACAAGCATAGCAGCATCTTGATCCTTAGTTCCTATATGTGCGCTGGCAAATGGGAAACTGGGTTACATTCTGTACTAACAAAAAAAGTCATGCTAGGACAGATGTGATATCAGTAAAAAAAATGTAAAAATATTCAGAACCCAGATGCCAAGTTGTCCATGGTGCAGATGCTTTGTAATTCTCTGATTGGCAGCGATCACACACACGGATACTTGGGGATGCTATTGGCAGTCTTTGGAATCCGTGCAAGTCGTAGCAGGACTCAGTGTGTGCTGGGGAACTCGGCCTTTACTCCTCCCGTCTCACTGCGCTTTGCTGCACGTTCCCCGTTTCTTCCACCTCCTCTCACCCTTCTCTTCTCAACTCCATTTTTTTTTTTTTTTGTATTAAGATGTGTTTATTCATTTGAAAGGCAGAGTTACAGAGAGAGAAAGACATACCTCCCAGCCACTGGTTCACTCCCAAATGGCTGCAGCAGCAAGGACCGAGCCAGGCTCAAGCTGGGAGCCAGGAGCTTTCCTCTGGGCCTCCCTTGGGTGCAGAGACCCAAGGACAAGGACCGTCTTTAGCTGCTTTCCCAGGGGCATAGCAGGAAGCAAGGCTGGGACTTGACCTGGTACCCGTACGATGCACCGTCACCACGACAGCCATCTAGCCGCAGTGTCAGCCGCGCCCATCCTCTAGTCTTTGAGATCGACTGCTGTCAGTTGAAACATGGGAGGAGCGCGGCGAGCTGGTTCCTTTCTGCTTAACACAGTGCCCTTCGGTTTCATCCATTTCGCCCCCGGTTCCAGGATTCTATCCCTTTTTTATGGATGAATCAATATTCTGTTATATAAACACTACATTTTCTCTTATCTGCCAGTGGGCACCTTGGTTGATTCCAGATCTGGTTGCTGTGAAGAGTATTACAGCAAGCGTGGGAGAGCGGATTTCCCTGGATAGGACAAGTTCATTTCCTTTGGATCTGTATCCAGAAGTGGGGTAGCTGGATCTGCTGCAGTGCCGTAGGAACCTCATTCCTGTTCTCCACGCAGACTACACTCACTTGCATTCCTACCACCAGCAGCATGCAGGGTCCCCTTTCCTCTGGATCTTTGGCAGTGTATGGTAGCTTTGGCTTCATTGGTGATGGCCATGCTGAGTGTAGTTGGGAAATATCTCACTGCAGTTTTGATTTGGAAGTTCCCTGCAGTCTAGTGACATTGGGTGAGGTGGGGGTAGTTGTCGTTGTTTTGGTTTATCTTCCATATGCTTGATCATATGTGTATCTTCTAGAAGATTCCTACGTAGGGGCTGGCAGTGTGGCACAGTGAGTTAAGCAGCTTCTGTGACACCAGCATGCCCGATGAGAGCGCAAATTCAGAGCCTGACTGCCCCCACTGACGTACTATGATGTCTGAAGAGGCGCCTTGAACTTGAATTTGCTGCCTGCCCTTCTTAGAGCTTCTCCCTGCCATCCTCACACCCTGCCATGTTTGTGACCCGCCCAAGTCAAGTAGGAGCTTTTACAGCCCATAAAGCAGATCAGGTGAAAGCAACTCTGAGCCCAGTGCACAGTCATGAGTTCATATCACGAATCCGTTGCCCCGTGTGTGTGCTTGAAGCCCGTTGATCTTGGTGTGTGCCAGCCTTGCTCTTGCCTCATACGGGTGCAGGTGGGTCCTCACTCCAGCGCGTGTGCCTCCTTCTGCCCAGCCAGGAAAGGGTACCGGCCCCTTCCTCCCTTTGCTCCCTTCCTGCTCAGCAGTGGCCACCGACTGTAGCGTGTAACTTTCTGCTCACTGTAGTGTGCCCTGCTTTCCTTACAGCAGTTCCGAGTCTGAGATGGAGGAAGAGGAGGAGGAGGAGGAGGAAGAGCCCGGGCTGCCCCCCTCCGACTTGGGTGGTGTCCCCTGGAAGGAGGCGGTGAGAATCCATGCTCTTCTGAAAGGAAAAAGTGAAGAGGAGCTGGAGGCCTCCAAGACCTTCGAGCCTGGCAATGAAGAGGAAGAGGAAGACGAGGAAGAAGAATATGAGGAAGAGGAGGAGGAAGAGTATGACGAGGAAGAGGAAGAGTCCAGTGAAGGTCAGAACAAAATCTTTTCTCTTAACCCTAACCCCATCCCACGTGCAGTGGTCTGTTCCGTGTCAAGCCACATGGGCACAGCCCTGCCTGCCTCCCAGGCCCCTGGGCAACGCCCATTGGCAGCGGGGGCAGCGTCCGTGATACACACTGTTTGAACCCAGGAGAAAAGAAGGGCCAGACCAAGGACTTCATACAAATCGCATCTCATCCTCATTTGCGCTGGATTTTGACAAAGAAGGGAAATGGAGTTTTCTAGAGTGTTCCCTGATTCCTGGTCTCGGGTTTGATGGCCATCAGGAGCCTCCGCATCCACAGGTCACTTCGGGGATGACATGCAGGGTATCGTTTCGGGGCCCATGGCCATAGCAGGCGCATCGTGGCTTCAGTGTTGAGTCCACCTGCTCTGTTCTGAGATAGCCTCTTGGCGTGGACTCGGGAGTTTTTCACCCTGTCCCTCTCTCTGTCGCTGTGTGACCTCGAGTGGTGACGCTTGCTGTCCTCCCACTTCCAGCCACTGCAGGCCACCCTGAAGTCCGCTAGGGATGAGGAAGGAGACCTGCTTTCTGCCAGGATGACGGAGGGCAGTGCCCTCTGCCTGGAGCCTGAAATGGCAGAGAAGGATCGACAGGTCTTCCACCTGCTAGTTCACTCCCCAAATGGCCATAGTTGCTGGACTGGGCCAGGCGGAAGCCAGGATCCTGGACTCCCTTCCGGTCTTCCACCTGGATGGCAGGGACCCAGGCATTCAGGCCATCTCCTGCTGCTATGTAGGCTGCCAGCTTCAGTATACAGGTCGTAGCTCAGCCCACTGTAGCAGCCCCCGGGCCTTTGCAGTTCTAAGTTCCAGTTTTTCCTGACCTTGGTCAGAAGAGCAGCTTAGCTTCTGGATGGCGCTTGTCTGGGCTTCAACCAGTGTTGGCTGTCCTGTACCTGCTGCCCTATCTCCCTGGAGCCCGTTTTCTCAGGCCTGGGAGACCTGCCCAGACATGGCTCGGTTCCGGAGCTGGGCCCCGGGAGCTCGCCCAACCCCATTTGGAGACAGCAGGCCTGAAACTCAGGGTCAAGTTGTTGCCTCCGGCTCCATGAGGGCCTTCTCCCTGTCCTCCTGCTCTCTTGCCCCGAGGCAGAGCGAGGGGCAGAATCCGCAGGCAGCTTCCGCTCCTTGCTCGGTCAGCTTGGCCACTGTGCGAGAAGGGGCCAACGCTAGCTGGGGCCTGAGCGCGCTCCTCGATGCTGCGTTCAGGGCCACACTGGCCTGAGCTGCCTCTTTCTCTCCATCTCATGGCTAACGCTGCTTCGGGGTTTCCAGTCCCAGCACAGCTTAGGGTCAGGGATTATTCCCTTTTCAAGGGAATTTCTTCCAGATTCCCCTCAGAAAAACCTCATTTCCTGGACTTGGGTCTAACAGCAAGACCAATCCTGTAGGGAACAGGCTCTAATGTGAGAAATACATACCAAGCAATGCAGCCAAGCCCTGCGAGTGCCCAGCCCGTAGGCCATGTGTGCCAAGCCCTGCGAGTGCCCAGGAGTGCCCAGCCGTAGGCCGTGTGTGCCAAGCCCTGCGAGTGCCCAGCCCCTAAGCCGTGTGTGTCTGTTGGTGCTGGCAGTGAGAGGCACCACTGCCTTTCTCTGAAGGTAACTCAGCTCTCTCTTCTCTCCCTCTGTCCCCCTGCGGGGGTTCTTGATGCTGTCTGTGGGTGTGTGGCTCCCCCTGCTGTAGAAGGGGAGTATTGCCCCTGGGACAGAGAACTGCTGCAAGGCCAGTGGCTCCAGCGCCTCTCAAAGGAAGAAGACACGGGTACACAGAAAGGTACCCACTGCGCCCCCTTGCCCACCTTCCACCCTGGCACCCTGGCAGCCGTCCGAAAGTTGCCTGCAAGAGCAGGTCCCGCGTGAAAGGATCTGTGCTTTGTAGAGCTTTGCATGTAGCTAGCCAGGCGCCCGACCCCAGGCCCTGAACCCAACCTTCAGATTCAGGCAGAGTAGCGCGGAAGGCAAAGGAGAGACAAGTGGAAGGGCAGAAGCAGCCTTCTCCACTGTGGCCCCCACCCCGCCCCTGGGGAGCCTTCTCCAGGGAGACCCCCACCCAGCCCCTGGGGAGCCTTCTCCAGGGAGGCCCCCACCCAGCCCCTGGGGAGCCTTCTCCAGGGAGGCCCCCACCCCACCCCTGGGGAGCCTTCTCCCTGTGGCCCCCACCCTGCCCCCAGGGAGCCTTCTCCACTGTGGCCCCCACCCAGCCCCCCCGGAGCCTTCTCCAGGGAGACCCCCACCCAGCCCCCGGGAGCCTTCTCCAGGGAGACCCCCACCCAGCCCCCAGGGGAGCCTTCTCCCTGTGGCCCCCACCCCGTCCCCGGGGAGCCTTCTCCCTGTGGCCCCCACCCAGCCTCTGGGGAGCCTTCTCCAGGGAGACCCCCACCCAGCCCCCGGGGAGCCTTCTCCAGGAGAACCCCACCCAGCCCCCAGGGAGCCTTCTCCAGGGAGACCCCCACCCAGCCCCTGGGGAGCCTTCTCCCTGTGGCCCCCACCCAGCCCCTGGGGAGCCTTCTCCAGGGAGACCCCCACCCAGCCCCCGGGGAGCCTTCTCCAGGGAGACCCCCACCCAGCCCCTGGGGAGCCTTCTCCAGGGAGGCCCAGCTTCTCTTCACAGAGGAAAGCACCTGCACAGCCCCAGCACCTCTGTCTGCACACAAGTGCTGTGAGCATTGCCCAGAGTGAGGAAGTGATGCTGGCTCCACACGTGTTAACGGGAAGCGACACATTCCTACGGAAAGGGAGTCATCCTCTTCCCCTTGTCGTGTTCCCTCTGCCTTGCTCCATTCTGACATGTCCGTGCTGTTTGATGACGCTGTATCTCAGCCTCGTGGAGCCCCCCAAAGCCTGATGCAGGGGTCTACAGCCCCAGTAAGGAGCCAGGAGGGGTGGCACTCTGAGAGGAGTGCATTGTGGCAGCCTGCACATTGGGCACCTTTTCCACTGCCAGAAGTCAAGAGTTTATCCTGATCATGCCCAAGGTCAAGGTTAGATGATCCAGAAGGTTGATGAGGGAAAGGTGATGTGCGCTCCCTGGCTCAGGCTCCCTGGGCGTGGCCTCAGATCAGGTGGTACCTGCTCTTGCTTCCTGAACGGTCCTCCTGCCTCCCTTAGCGTGCCCGCCCTCTGACTTGCTAACCCAGTGATGTGGCATAGTCTGAGCACTGGTCCTCCCCCTACCCCCTGCCAGGGGGCATGCCAATCCTGGGGCCCTGCCAGCAGCGGTCATCCCGGGGGCTCCCGGGCAGTCATCGCTTCCCTGAGGACCCCGCTCTTGTGTTCAGAGCACCGGGTGGGGTTTGGCGAGCAAGCTTGCAGTAGACAAAGCAGACAGGACTTGGTCTTGCTCCTCCCATGGACTCGCCAGGCTGTGGGCGTGGACAGAGACGGTGCTGCTTCCTTGCCAGTCGCGCCTCCCTGTGCTCACCTTCTGCCGCGGGTCCAGCATGCCACGTGAGGCCTGTGGCGGAAGGGTGCTGCTTTCTCTCTGAAGTGCCCCCCGAGTCCATGCCTGCCCTTTGGCAGCTGGCTGTTTGATGACACAGTGGCCTGCCCCCTCCCACCTTTCTCTTGTCACTTGGCTTGGCTCTGGAGGGAGGTAAGCGCTTTGCGGTCAGCAGGAGTCGCGCACAGCGGAGCCTGCAAATGTCAGGCAGCTCGGGGTGCCAGCTGAGTCCTCGTGACACCAGAGCAGTGGCCCTTTGGAAGCCGTTTGCAACCTGCACCTTGGCGTTTGGAGTAGGGCTGCGTGGCCTGTACGCAAAGTTAATGCTGCAGAGGATGCCTGAATGACTAAATCACACCGAGAGACTGCAAAAGGCGTGCATGTGTGTGTGCGTGTGTGTGCGTGCGTGTGTGCATGCGTGTGTGTGCGTGCGTGTGTGTGCGTGTGTGCGTGCGTGTGTGTGCGTGCGTGTGCGTGCGTGCGTGTGTGTGTGCATGTGTGTGCGTGTTCTCACTGTTTGCTTCCTTCTGATCCAACCAATCCTAGCGAAGACTGTAACTTTTCTCTCTGTTTCCTTTCCCGTGGTGTTTCATCCCCTTCTTCCCTTGGCTGTTTTCTCCTCCGTCCATCCTTCCTTCCTCCTTCCTTCCTTCCTTCCTTCCTTGTCTCGTGCACCTGCTACGCTAGTCGGGAACCAGAGGCTGCAGCAGATGAGAATCCCAGCTGACCCCTTGGCAATCCAGGCCGATGTACACTGGACGCACATTCGTGAGAAAGAGGAGGAAGAGAGAAGGGTGCCAACCTCTGACTCCTCTACTTCCAGAGGTAACCCCTTCCTCACATGCAGGGGCTCCGGCGTGTGCCCACCCCAAAGCACTTTCCATCCCGGCTACCCTATCATTGCTGCCCAAGCCCTGCCTGTCAGGACCAGAGCCACCTGCTGAATCAGGAGGGGGTAACAGAACCCTGACGTCTGTCATGCCAACAACTCTCAACTCCCATTTGAGGATGTGTAAAGTTCAAGAGGCCGTGGGCTGCTTCTCTCCTGATGCGCGGCAGAAAAATAAGCATGACCTGGTGGGGACCGAGGATTTGCTGTCTTTCTCCCATGTGTCTAGGCGGCGCCACTCTTCCCGATGCTTGACCTGCCAGCGTGTGTGTGTGTGTGTGTGTGGATATAGGGGGTCCAGGGAACATACTGGAAGGAACATGATTTTCTGCCAAGGAGGCCTCTAAGATGTCAGCTAAGATGAACTACGTCCCTAGGTGGGGCAAAATAGATCCTACCCTGAACTTCTTGTGAGAGACAGCAGTTGAAGGAGGACAAGCAGCCGAGCATTGCAGGAGGTGTGGTCGCCATGTCCTTCTCCCCGGGGAGTCCCGGGGGTCGTCAGCTTCGGCCTGTCCTCACAGGCCACACTCCGCACTGGCTGCCCCACACCTCCCAGCTTACACACAAGGACCAAGTTCCCTTGACGGGGGTGGCCACTGCCTCCTGAAGCAGCATCTAAGAGCGGTGCTCTCCAGCCCCCAGTCTCCACCTGAAGCCGTGACTGGCCTGTGCAGCCCCCGCAGACGGGAGCGAGGGCCCGCAGGAGGGGGAAGGCCCTTCCTGTAGTTGGCCCATCACACAGGCCGGCTGCAGGACTGCCACCCCTCGCTGGTGCCAGATGGGCCTCTGTCTGCCGACGTCCCCGGAAGCTCTGCTCTGTTCTGGACGTCAGGGCTGACTCAGCCGTCCTCACTGGGAATGCTGATTGCTGTGTAACTGTATTTATCGTCTGTTTTAAATTCAGTGCCTGACCTTCCCTCCATACGCCGCGCAGCAGTGCAGGCCTGGCTGGAGACAGTGTCCGGAGGTAGTCTGGTGATGTTTGCTCTCTCTCCATTCACTGCAACTTCCTTCTCTAGGCAGCTCTGCTGGGGCCCTAACACTAGGATCTCGGTCCTGTCGCTGGTGCATGCGAGGGCAGAGCCAGAGGCGGGTGGGGGCCGTGCATGCCTCCTCACACAGGCAGCTCATCCCTGCATGGACCAGATGCGCACCGCGGGTCCCCCCACTGCCATCGAGGAGAGCAGTAGTGTAAACAGGACAGAGACTCGCTTATTCTAGTCATGGACAAGGGTGGGGTTCAAAGGCGAAAGCTGAAGGAGCAGCGTGTGGGTGTGAAAGTGAAGGAACGAGACAGCATTGCACAAACCTGCCAGAATGTTAGAGAAGGAAACATACAACCCGAACCCCAGGCAAGAGCAGGGGGCTGCTGGACACTGCCCACCGAGGGTGGCAGGGTGGACTGGGAGTGACCAGTGCTGACGGCAGCTGGGTCTCCAGGCTGAGTGGCAGATATCCCCTTCAATTCTCAGGCCCATAGTTTTACAAACCTTACATGTCCTCCCTGGTTGTTTCTGGAGACATCTTTCTCCACAGGAGGCTTTTAACATTTGGACCAGAGCAGTTCCTTGCATGGCCTGATGCTTAACATCCTTGGCTTCAGGCCCCTAAAGGTCAGGGCAGCCCTATCCCCACCCCAGTCCTTACTGTCAAACGCTGCTCCACATATTAAACATGACTGAAAACATGCACTGTCGCCCCCTGGTGGACAAAGGCCATCCTGGGCTCCCTCCTGGGATGGACAGGATTGGAGTCCTGGGTCTTCACCACCTGGCTTTTACCAACCCAACCATTGTCCTAGAGTAGCCACACGCATAAGGTAAGAGGTGCCTTCATGTGTGTGGCCTACTGCGTGAGTCGTCCAGTCCAGCAGAGCCTGAGCCATCAGCTCTGTGAGCAGAAACTGCTGATCCTGCCTTCTGGTTAGCGAGTGTCTGTAGGACCGGGAACAGGGTGGAGGCGTGAGGACTTCCCAGCTGGCAGCTGACACAGGTCAAGAGCTGAGGGCCTTGGCGATTCCTGGCTGTCGTGGCGTGTGGCTCATCAGTTTGCGTGGCAGCTTCTAGCACTCTGCGCTCCATCTTAACCCGGACTTAATCACCTGATTCATCCCTCGAGCTGCGTCCCTTTCAGCATACGCTGTGCTGCGTTGACATTGCCCACGTGTTTGTTTTTGATGTATTTGATGACTGTTTCTTTCGAGGTACCCCCCCGAGGAATGTAGACTTCTTACACTTCTGACTCAACAGCAGGTGCTTGGTGGCACCGCAGGGCCAGAGCGCCAGCCCTGGGACCAGGGTCATCAAGTGCCAACTGAAGAACCCTGCGTAGTGGGGGCTTTTGTGCATTCTTCCAGTTCCCTTGCCAAACCAAGTGTCAAAGTGCCAGCTTGATGCCCAAGCCCTCACAGATTCATTCAAGCAAGCGAGTCAGGCACAGAGTGTTCTCTCTGCAGAACAGGGCTCAAGTTCAATCCCAACCTCCTCAGACATGGTGCCCCTGCTGTTGTCCATGGGTCAAGCTCAAGTTGAGCAAGGGGCACAGAGGAGGTGGCTGCCCGTTGGCGGGAGCCCTGCTTGCGCCTCAGCAGTCCCACTCCTTGGAGTGCGACGAACCACCTTCCTCGAGTGGCCACCAGCAGTGTCACCACACCACAGTCTCTAACCTGTGCGAGTCTGTGGTCACACTAGTCTGAATGCGCCCGGTCTCATCCGATCTCAAACCCGTGGGAATGCAGGTGGTGGCTATCCTCCTGGTGTGTTTCCCAGCAGATGTCATCATCAGGAAAGCATCCAAGCATTGCCAGCTCCATGAGCTGCTCTGGCATCTCACAAGGGTGCCTCGAGCTCCCCTCTCCTTCTCTGTCCACCCACCACCACCACCACCTAGTCATTTTAGAAGTCCCCCTTGTCAGTCCCTGCTCCTTGCCCGTCTCTGCCCGTAGGAGCTAGTCACGACCCGACTGTCACTGTGATCTGACCTTGCTGCCACCAATTCTCTGTCCTTCCCTGAGATGTTACGGATGCAGTCAGTGGTCAGCTCAGAAAGAGGAGGCAGTCTCTTTGAGAGGGTCTAACCGTGGCCTGGCCCACCCCTCTCGTTTTCAGCATGCCCTTTGGCCTGTTGCTATGGCCCCATTCCCCTGCCAACCCCTTTCTCCACTGTGGCCATAGGACCTTGGCTCCTGGACAGGCACACCAAAGCACGCCTGTGTCCCCAGGTGAAGCTCTTTAGGAATGCCTGGAGCGTGGCTGTGCAGACCCCCAAGGGAAACCCACAGGAGCCCTGGCAGATGAGTCGCAACCATGCGTGCGAGTTGCAAGTGTGCGGAGGCTGGGGCTGGGAGCGGGAATGAAAGAGAAGCAGCTCAAGGCTGTCAGGACTTCACGTCTGCTTGTAGCACTGAAGGGCTGCCCTGGAATCCAGAGAGTGCACTTCGCCTTGGGCCTTGTACTTTGAAGCAGAATCCCTTGGGTCGCCCCCACAAGGAGCTGTCACCTCCACCAGTGGGGAAGGAAGGGGCTGCCATCCTGTCCCCTGATCCCAGCACTGTGACCATGTTGACCTGAACCGTGTGGATCTCAGCTTTGTCTCTGGGTGGCAAGGATTGGGGGTGTCCTCAGCTTGTACTGCCATGAGGACTAAATGACTCAGGGCGCATCAAGTAGTCAGCGGAAGGAGACTGGACAAACAGCGTTTTCCTTTTGTGTCTGCAACCTTGAGGCTCCCAGCCGGCAGCCCCAGGAGGAAGAGGGAAGCAGTTGGGCCTTCAGTGGCTCCTCTCTCGCCCTGGGCCCCTCCAGGACCAGGAAATGCACCCTCCTGCTCCCGGGGCCTGGAGGTCCTTCCGAGCACCCACACTGTTCTGAGAGAGCTCTACCAGCCCCCCACCTTCTCATGGCCTTACTCTCTCCCTCCTGAGAAAAGCTGCACCTGTTTTCCACCTGCTAAGGCAATCTGTCTCTCCATTGTTTTCTCTCTTTCTTTGAACATTTCTGATTTACAGTCCCATTGGATGAGAATGACCTGGAGGAAGATGTGGACTCAGAGCCAGCAGAGATAGAAGGGGAGGCGACAGAGGAAGGGGAGCCAGGGGACACTGGTGCCGAGCTGGACGATGGTACGGAGGCCCAACCTCCCCTCTCCTCCATGGTGAACACATGTTCCCCAAGAAGGGACACGGCCAGAGCGGCTGCAATGCAGAAAGAGAAAAATCTACTCTAAGGCAAAGCCAGGAGCATGGGGCTCATCCATTCCATCTCTGGCTCATTCTTTTAGTCTACCTGGTTTTACCCACCCCTGGTCACCGCGTGTCTTAGCCTGCTTTTGTTGAACTGTGGTCATGACCCTAAGCAAATAGGAGGGCTTTGTGCAGAGTCTTAACACAGAAACTGATCTCTGAAAACTGGGGACAGTGAGATGGTGTTTTAAGAATAAGACTGGTTGGTTGGGGAAAGCAGAGTGGGGAGTTTAGACCGTGGCTGTGCTGTCAGGGTGGAGGCCAGAGAAGGGCACAGGAGGCGAGGCTCAACAGCCACACCACCTGTTAAGACCTATGTCATTGGTATACAGATAAAAGGGAGAGCCCCCAGGCTTGAATGAGGCAGAGTGGCCTGGGTCCACGTGCTGCGAGTCAGCAGAGCATGCGGCCAGGTCTCTAAGAAGATGGGAGGGCACCAGTGGGCAGTTTCACTGCGGCCACAGGCTTGCCTCCAGGTCTCCTGTGGCAGCGGCGGTTAGTCTGACGGGAGCATCCACCCAACCCTGTGCCCTCCCCTCCCTCTGCCAGATCAGCACTGGTCTGACGACCTCCCATCCGATGCTGAGACGGAGCTGCGTCTGCGGCGCCAGGCCGAGGTGGAAGCCGACCTGGAGCTGAGAGTGTCGGAGAACGAGGAAGAGGCAGCACCTGCGTCGACAGAGCGGCAGGAGAGAGGTGAGTCCAGGAGCAGCAGCTTCCAGAAGTCCTGCCACATCCCAGCAGAGCAACCCTCACAATGACCGGCACATCCATGCTGCTCAGATAGCCCACAGCCGTGGCAAGGACCCGGCTACCTAAGCCACTGGCCACTCTCTCCTGGGACCTGCCAGAACAGAAAGCCGGAGTCGGGAGCTAGGGACAGGAATCACACCAGGCATTCCCACGTGGACCACCCAGCCCACCCCATCAGGAATTCTGTTTCCCCTCCATCCACCTTCCTTATGTGTTCTGGGCTAGGAAAAGCAGTAAGTCCCTCCATCCTGGCCCCAGACACGGGGTGCACACAGAATGCCTGCGGCTCTCACAGAGCTGTCTGAGGGGTGCTAGGAGCGCTCTGGGCAAACCCAGGACCCCTCACCTCCAAGAGGATGTGTCTCTCCAGAAGTGCCAGAACCTCAAAGCTCTCCCCAGCCCTCTGCAAGTAGCTGCTGGCCAGCACAGCCCTCCGGTGAAGCAGCTAGAAGGAGGGGGCCCTCTGGGCGCGGGGGCTCCTCCTCAGTCCTTATGTCCTTTTTTTTCCAGCTGCCTCCCAAATCTCCAGCCCCATCCGGTCCCCTCAGGAACAAGCTGTTCCATGCAGTCCAGTCCACAGCCCTGTGGCGGAGGTATGTTTGGGGCTCTGCCGGGGTGGGGCAAGGAACTGCTGCGTCCACACAAGGGTGCCTGGGGCCTGCAAGTGAGATAGCCAAGACCCTATTCATTGCAAGGAAGAGGCCGAACATGCCATGCGTGCTAAGTGGAGATGAAGCAGGAACAGCAGGGGCAGGCCTCCCCAGCCCTGCGTCCACCCCAAGCCCATGCCACTCGGTGCTGCCCACACGGCACACCGTAAAACCAATGCATGTTTAAATGACAGTAGTAATATTTATGAGACTACTGCACATTTTTCTTAATGTTATGTTAAAAGCGTACAAAGATGGAAAATGAAAATTGCATCCAGATTTCCGCTTGTGTGGGGACCACAGGCAAGAAGCTATGTGTATGGTGGCAGTGAGAACCGTGGAATTCATCGCTGGAATTCACACAGTGCCATGCGCTAACTAGAGGGCAGGGCGCAGGAGTGCAGCGGGGCCTCAGCTGCCTGACTGGGTCTGAGGGCTCCCAGGAAGCACTTGACAGCTGTGGCAGTCTGTGAAATGGGGAGCTTTATCCTCCGAAGAGCCGGAAGAGGCTTTAATAGTCTTTACGAGTTTTGGGCTTCCTGGGAGGAGCGGTTGGGTTGTAACACACCCTGTGATGGGTGCTTATTTCAAATCCTGTTACCATGCTGTCCCTCTCTGTTCGTGCGGGAGGGGGGTCTTGGCAGCCTCAAGTTTGCTGGCTGAGCGTGAACATGGCATTGCTTAGTGTCTCCAGGCCCATGTTCACCTGAATGGGCAGAGAACACGGCCTATGTGCCACATGAACCGGGCCAGGAAGACTCGGACTGTTGGCACTAGGCAGAGTAAAACCAACACCCAGCTCAGGAGGTGGGAACCGTCCCCCTGGAGCTGTTCCCGTCATGCCTCACAAGGAAATACGTCCAAGGGGAGGAGGCCCTGGGAGAGAGCAAGCCCCTTTGGGGCTCCTGCTGACTCCTCATACCCTGGGTTCTTCAGTGGCTTCTCTCTCCCTTTTCTGCAGGGACCCCAAGTCACACCCACCCCAGCTGCCACCACAGTGCGATCTCCCAGCGAGCGCTTCTTCCCCGAGCCTTCCCTCCCCCGGGAAAAGCCCCAAACAGAATCACCCAGCGACCACAAAGCTGGGCTCTCCCCTATCCGATCACAGCCAGTGGCTCTGCCAGAAGCCAGGACACCTACCTCACCCGCCAGTACCCAGCCCGTGTCACCCTTGGTACCCCCCTCGCCCTCTTCCACCCAGCTCCCCATTTGCTCCCAGCCTCAGCCAACCTCGGAAGCCACCATCCCATCCCCCACCCAGTCCCCCATCCGCTTCCAACCTGCCCCTGCCAAGACCTCCACCCCTCTGCCCGCCCTCGCCACGAGGAGCCCCGGTGACACCAAGGGCAGCCCTTTGGCTGTGGACGAGGCCCTGAAGCGGAACGACCTGGTGGAGGAGTTCTGGATGAAAAGCGCTGAGATCCGCCGCAGCCTGGGCCTCTCGCCCGTGGATCGGAGCAAGGGGCCCGAGCCCAGCTTCCCCTCCCCTGCCTTTAAGCCGGTGTCCCTGAAATCCTATTCTGTCGAGAAGTCCCCTCAGGATGAGGGGCTTCGTCTTCTGAAACCCCCACCTGTTCCCAAAAGGCTGGGCCTGCCCAAGTCAGATGGCGACCAGCCGTCCCTACTGACCCCCAAGTCGCCATCGGACCGAGAGCTCAGGAGCTCCCATGAGGAACGCAGGGACCTGTCCAGCAGCTCGGGCCTAGGCCTCCATGGCAGCTCCTCCAACATGAAGACCTTGGGCAGTCAGAGCTTCAACACCTCGGACTCCACCATGCTCACTCCACCTTCCAGCCCGCCCCCACCCCCGCCCCCCAACGAGGAGCCCGCCACACTTCAGCGGAAGCCCTATCAGCCCAAGGAGGTCGGGCCCAAGGCCTCCATCATCCCACCACCTCCACCTGCCCCGTTCATGAGGCCCCCCCGAGAGCCCGCCCAGGCCCCCAGGGAAGAGGTCCGGAAGTCCTTCATTGAGAGCGTGGATGAGATCCCCTTTGCTGACGATGTGGAAGACACATACGATGACAAGACGGAGGACTCGAGTCTGCAAGAGAAGTTCTTCACCCCGCCCTCCTGCTGGCCCCGTTCTGAGAGGACCCCCCAAGCCTCCGGGGCCAGGGAGAACGGCCGGCTGCCCACCCTGGAGCCTGGGGCCGTGCCTCAGAAGAGGACCTTGCCCTTGGTCTCCCCAGAAGCCAAGGAGCTGGCAGAGGAGCGCATGCGAGCCCGGGAGAGATCTGTGAAGAGCCAGGCGCTGAGGGATGCCATGGCCAAGCAGCTGAGCAGGATGCAGGACATGGAGACGGCCATCGGGGCCTCGCGGGCCCGCAGAGTGCCCTCCACGCCCTCCCAGGGCAAGGAAGTGGCCTCCAAGTCCCCCAAGCGCCTGATCCCCAAGGGTTCCGAGGAGCCGACCCTGAAGCACGAGGCCACCAGCGAGGAGGTCCTCTCCCCGCCGTCGGACTCCGGGGGCCCAGACGGCTCTGTCACCTCATCCGAGGGCTCCAGTGGGAAGAGCAAAAAGAGGTCATCCCTGTTCTCCCCCCGCAGAAACAAGAAAGAGAAGAAGCCCAAAGATGAGAGCAGGCCGCCAGAGAAACTAGGCCCCGGTCTCCTGGAGGAGGCGGCCGCCAAGCCCAAGTCCCTGTGGAAATCTGTCTTCTCTGGGTACAAGAAGGACAAGAAGAAGAAGAGTGATGAGAAATCCTGTTCCAGCACTCCTTCCAGTGGCACCACTGGGGACTCGGGGAAACACAGGATGTCCCCCATCGTGAGAGCAGGTGCGTCAGCAGCCAGGGGCCCAGCATGAGAGCAGGTGCGTCAGCAGCCAGGGGACCGCTGGGTAGCACGTGGCGGGACGAGTGCATGCTCAGGAACTCACATTTATCTGCTGCTGCTGTGGCTCCACCAAACATGTTGCCATTGAAACTGTGCACAGGGCACTTGCACGTGGGAAGCCTTCCTTAAGTCCCATTACTCCCCAGCCGGGCCAGGTTTTCCTTGGTACCAGGCTGGTACTGCCAGGAGGCACAGAGCACCAGCTGTTTCCCACCAGCTCTGCCTCCCCCCGCCCCCCCAGCTCCCTAGTGCAGGAGGAGACTTAGCTAAAAGGAAACCACACCTCAATTCCTTCTCTACCACGTGAATGTAGACACTGGCACGAGTCGGTGTGGACGACGGCTGGTCGCCATCCTCATGCAGCCCTTCCTGTCTCTGCCCACAGAGCTGCAGCTCCGGCGTCAGCTGAGTTTGTCAGAGGACTCTGACCTGTCCAGCGATGACATCCTTGAGAAGTCCTCGCAGAAGTCCAGGCGAGAGGTGCGTGGGTCCCAGTGAGCTTCCCCGGGGCCAGCAGTCCCCTGCTCTGTGCACTGTGGGTCTTTGATAAAGTGGAGGACATGGACACAGACCCCCAGCCAGGAATAGGAAAGTTGTCCCTCCTCTGATTCCCCCCTAGATACACAGCCCCAGTGTCCACGGAGCTCTTCTCTTGGGCCTGGGGCTGTTAGCTTCTATGGCAGGGGTTCCAGTGTACAGTTTTTGCAAAAAAGACCTGAGATGTTCCATACTCACAGCCTCATTTTATCTACAGGAAACAGGCTGGCTGGCTTGCTTCTTTTTTCCCCTCTGAAATCCCATGTGCCATAGCAGCCACCAGTGCCCGGAGGGGTGGCGGAAGGGGCAGACATCGCCAGGGTCCTGAGGCTGGGAGGGAGTCATGAGGAGTGGCCCCACTGTCGCAAGTTGAGCAAGGTGCCTGTCTGCCCCTTCTGCTCAGCTCCCTGGTCCGCTGAGGAGGATGTGGGCTGCGGAGGGATCTAGAAGCCGTGGCTTCCCACAGGGGTTTATTCAGCCTTTTGATTATCAGGGATTCTCCAAACTTTGCCAGGTGGGGTGGAGTGGGAGGAGGGAGAAGATTTCATTGTGTCACAGAGGTAGCGATTGAATGGGAGCGAAGATCTGGAGGCCCCAGAAGCAAGGCAGCGGCGAGCGAAGGCAGAGCGCCATGAGCTCTTCTGCCCCCTCACACTGTCCACAGTGTCCAAGTCCGTCCTGCCTACTAACCCCCGGGGAGTCTTGGGGGCCGGAGTGAACCCTTGCCTGTAGCCTCTTCCTAGTTCCTTCCGCCCTGCCTGATCCGGTGGGCATACGGGGGAGAGTTTACCTGTGAGTCATTCTTGATGCATTCATCCCCGTTGGCCATGCCAGCTTTGGTCCCTCTCCCAGAAGGGCATTTAGAGACCTCTTGTCCTGTTAACTCCTGTTAATACTTGGCCACAGCCGGGGCACATCCCCCACCTGGTTTCATGTGCCTCTGTCAGGCACTTGCCAGTGAGCTTTCCAGCCAGAAGCGTGGTAAGGAACTGATAACTGCCACTGGATTCTTGCGTTTGGTCCCTAAACATCCCAGCCTTGGGGCAGGTGCTGCTGTCGGGGATCCTGAAGGGGTCTGTGATGAAGGGAGACTGTGGACCAAGGTTCCCTTTGCCCCAGGTATGAGCGTACAGATCTTCAGCCAGTGTGTGTCCTGTTGCTGCTCCTCACTGTGGCCTGGTCCCTCTGCCGTTGTGCAAAATCCCGAGTGGCAGGCAGCTCATATTGGCTGTGCCTTGGCCACCAGCTCGTGAAGAAACCTCATTGACCACGCACTTCCTGGGGTTCAGCAGACGTGAGGAGCATAGGAGCTTTCGTTTGCCCACCCCCGTCCAGGTGAACAAGCCACAGGCCCCAGCCACTGAGGCCCAGAACCGGGGGACCTTGGAAACTCAGCAGTGGCAGAATCATTTGCTGAGAGTACTGTGTGGTCTCAAGACACAGACACTAGTGCAGGAAAGCAACCAGGAGCAGACACTACGCGAAAGAGGATGCACCCGTGCACCGTGTAATACATGTGCAGTGAATGTGAAGTTCCTTGCGGGTGCCATGATTATGTAGGGAGACCTCCTGGTTCTGAGGGCAGCTGTGCTGTGGTCGTGATGTCTACAAGGAAGTCCGAGAAAAGAGAGTGGCACAGAGAGAAAGGCACCTGGTGCCCAGATCCAGGTGGAGGATGGTCAGATGCCCATCATCATCCTCCTTAACGTTTCTGTGGCAACAGTGAGATGGAAAGTGAAAATGGACTTGACTAAGGAGCTAAGCCTCTGGCTGCCCACACCAGCCTCTCCCGGCAGAAGCACTGTGGCCGCACAAAGACAGAGGGGAGTTCCCTTTCCTGGGTCAGACATCTGTGAGACAAGCACCTGCATAGCATCGTTAGGAAGAACAAATACCATTAAGAGTCATTTCCAGTTTTATCTCAAATGTCTCTTGTAGAAAAATTAAAACAGTACAGATTTTCACTTCCACATCCCCTGGAGGAAAGGTAACTTGTTGGCCCCTTTGGTACCTCATTCTACAACCAATGGGGCCATTTCTTAACCACTGTGATCCATAGAGAGCTTTGTACTGGCTCTCTGGCAGCCCCTAGGCCCATTCCACAGCAGGCAACATTTTCTCTGTGACCAGCCTTATGCTCAACTCATGTGTGCCAAGTTGCTGTCAACTGCAGCCATGCATCAGAACCCGGAGAAGGCCAGTGCCCCCTCCACTTTCAGCTTTTGCATCAGCCACAGGTTGAGATGTTCAGCCATCTGAGGTTGTGACCTCACAGTCCCTTGTGAAGTTTTCACATGCTACGTAAGAGAAGCATCTGTCAGTCAAAGCTGACCCTCCTCTTGCACTTCAGGGAAGTTCATCTTTCATGAGTTGGGATGTCTGTGCCCAACGGGAAGCAGCAGAATCCACTCTTCTCCAGGCCGACATCCACTCGGTCCCCGAGATAACAAGACCTCGTGTTGCTTCCCTCCCTGTCTCTCTCTCTCTGCCTTTTAGCCATGTGTGTGGCAGCAGCTGCAATCTCTGTTGCAGGCTTGGTGAGTGGCAGGAAAAGGGTCAGCATGGTTCCCTGAAAAAAACTGTTGGTGACTAGTAGTCACTTCACGACATTTCAGTTCCCTTTCGTGGGGTGTAATCAAGAAAGGGCCCTGGTCTCCAGTGCCAGGCAGCCAACTGTGGGCCACGTGGCCCTGCTCAGGAACAAGGCTGGGAGAGAGTCTCCCTTCTGCGGGGAGAACGTGAGGATGCCAGTGCTCAGCTAGGCTCTGTGTCTGAAAACGTAATGTCCTACTGCCCACCCCAAGAGCATTCAGCAGGAAGAAGTAGCCATGGATGATGGGTATCGAGCCCAGTGGTTAAGCTAACGTTTAGGATATCGGAGTTCCTGGGTTCAAGTCCAGGCTCCACTCCTGATGCCAGCTTCCCAGGACAGAGTTTTGCAGGCTTCACGCAGGTCTTTGTTGACATGTGCAGACCCAGATGGAGTTCTGAGGCTCTGAGTTGAGCCTGTCCCAGGCCTGGTTGTCACAGGCATTTGGGGAGTGAATCAACAGATCAGAGATACTCTTTCTCGCTCTCCCCCACCCTTTTAAATAGAAAATAAATACATACAAATGGCAAAAGTTATGTATTTTTAAATTTTTCAGTAGGGAGTGATTAAAGGTAAACTAGCATCTTTAATCATATGTTGATATGCAGGAAGATGGGAGCGAGAGATTTGGAGGTGCTAAGGAAGTGGGTGCTGTGTCCTGTAAGCCCGGCCTGATTCAGTAAGGGGTACTCGGACACACCGCCGCCAGGGTCTTCACACCTGGGTTCTGCCTCAGGCAGTCTTGTGTGCCAGTGTGAAAAATGCTCTTGTGTTTTCAGTCTTGTGTTTTAAGTCTCTCCTAACTGATTTTGTTCTATCTCCATGTTCTTGGGTGTTTTTTTTTAATTTTTAAAATAATTATCATCATTACTGTTCTGTCTTCTGTTGCCATCTCCTTAAAAGTCGATTTATGTGCCACACGCCTTGGCATTCAGGAGATCATTTGAAGCAAAGGTAGTGTCTCTGTGCCAATGGCTGGTTCTCGTTGCATGCCTGTCTGTGATTAACCACCGGGCAACCCCGGCCCTGCTACCACGTGCCCACTAACAGTCCCTAGGTGCATGGAGCTGTGCAAACACTAGCAGCAGGACCTTGTTGAGCTGTGTCGTGAGCAACAAAGAGGACAAGACATCCACCGTGTGCTGGCTGGGGTGCATGTGATGGTTTCACTCCAGGTGCCCATGTAGAGGGCAGAGCTGCCCTTTGGGACTGGGAACCACAAGCAGGGACAGCTCTCCAGCCCCCAGTTCTGGGGTCTGTGACAATCCGCAGGGCTCTTGAACACTGCCATGCTCCTTAGGGACACCTGCTTTGCTTTTCAGTTGACCTCTGACGTCCTCGAAGCTCCTTAAGGTGTGCCTGATGCACCACCAAGTAGCATTTGAAAGTCTTCCTTTAAGGTCTATGAAAGTTTCCCTGTTTTCTTAAGAGGCAAGAAAGAGGGTCCTGCCGATTAAGGCCTGCACCCAACATTTGCTTCTTTGCTTTGCACAGTGTTTATCCAAAAGCACCTGACACTCCGTGAGCCAGCGATGCCCATGACTTAGCAACTGCTCAGCAGGGCAACTTCACTTCATGACAGCCCTGGCCAGCCTCTTCCTTATTCCCCTCTCATCAGCAGCTGAGTCCCCCTGCAGGCCCCAGAGCCCACAGTTCCTTCTCCAGTCTGCAGTGCCTAGTCTGAAATGGACATATTGCTGCTTTCTATACTAAAGATAGCACTTTTCAAAAGAGTATATGACCGTCGATCATCTGAAGAAAGTCGCTTTTGACACCAAACAAGAGGAGGCTCTGAGTTTTTCTCTTGTCCTTTGCCTTAGAGCCTTCCTAGCAGCCTGTGGCTTGGGGCAACATTTCCCACAAAGCCTGCAAACCAACAGGCAGCCTCATGTGAGGAACACGGTCCCCATGACAAACAGGGCTGTGGCCCTTTGCCTCTGAGCTTCCCAATGACCAGTCCCACGCAGCTGCCCGTGCCTGTCACAGAGGGGACACGCCTCACCCGTGAAGTCTGGCTGCTTGTCTATCTTAGGGGCACCAGCTCCAAGCCGGGGGTAGGAGGGGGTGGGCAGTCTTCACTGTCACCTTGCCAGGGTGCTGCCCAGGCCCGTGTCACCATGCCTGACCCTATGTGGACTGAGGAGCTCTCTTGTTCTCTCCAGCCCAGAACCTACACAGAGGAGGAACTGAATGCTAAGCTGACCCGGCGCGTTCAGAGGGCAGCCCGGAGACAGGCCAAACAAGAGGAACTGAAGCGACTGCATCGAGCTCAGGTAAAACCATAGCAGGTGAGCCATGCCACACACGCACGTGAGCGTCCAGAGGCAGCGTCCTCCCCCACCTGGCTGCTCCTCCTCCTGTAACAGGGAAGGCAAAGACAGCCTCGCAGGAGCCACTGGGACATCCTTGTTGGCTGACACATGACAGCCCCAAAGGATGCTGGTTGACTTGATGCAGCTCCAAGTGCCCATCTGTGTGGAGCTGTTGGTGAGGGAAGAGCCACACGGTGATGCCTCAGTTCCACCGTCATCAGACACACTCTTGGAAATCCGGTGCCAGGGGCCAGTTTGCAGCCTGTCAGTCTCTGAGGGGCCTGGGGTTGCGTGGGGAAAAGTCAGCACTCTGCTGCCCATCCTGACCCCCCCGTCCTCAGGCCTTACCATTCCTAAACCATTCTAGAGGGGAGAGAGGCTGTCAGAGACAGCCGAGGCAATGGACTCCCAACCCTTGCTAGGATGCTCACAGACTGTCGGCATGCCCATCGCCACTCTGACTGCCTCCAGATGCCTCACACCACACTCTGAGCGCGATGCCTTTCATGTGTCCACGATCTGTCCTGTCCCCCATCCCTTGGCGTTTGGGGTTTCATTTTCCTCGCCAAGCCTGGAGCAGGGGAAGCTGGGTGCTGACACTGTCTTCTTTCCTGCAGATTATTCAGCGGCAGCTGGAGCAGGTGGAGGAGAAGCAGAGGCAGCTGGAAGAGAGAGGAGTTGCTGTGGAGAAGGCGCTGCGGGGCGAAGCAGGTACCGTCCAGCTGCTTTTGGGAGGCGACTGTTGTGCAGGAAGATCGCTCTCTGAGCTGGGCTAGGCTTGCATTGCTTTACCTGAGTTCAGCTCCTTTTCCAGCAGGATTTTCTAAGTCCCTGCTTCACTGACATTTGAGGCTTCCCGTTAGGCAACAAGAAAATTGCCTCTGTTTGGGGCAGCCCTAAGGCCTAGGCCTTTCTAGCCCATGTCACAACCTGCCTCTTCCCTGTAGGATGAGATCTCCATGCCCGCCATGTGTCAATGGAAAGCACTGGGCTCCCTCCTCCTTTCCCATCCCATCCTTCTCTCTAGGAATTACTGGGAATGGGGGGCAGTTGTCCTACAAGGAACCATCACAGAACTGCACTGAGCAGGGCCTCTTCCTGTCTTCAGTTCCATGGGTTCCCTCCTAGCCGAGGTGTACGAGACAGTGAGGCCCCAGAACTACGCCACCCCTGGTGCGTGCAGGGGGCACATGAACAGCCAGCTCTGATGCACTGAATACCAGTCACCCAAGCAGAGCTGGAGTGGCTGGGAGGGCTGCCAAGTGGGTGGCTGCCTTTCCTGGCAGAGAAGAGCTTGGAGTTGTGGGACAGTCACTTAACTTGTTCTGCCAAGAAGCCTTTGAGTCAGCTCAGCCCGTTGGGGCTGATGTCTGATCCCTGGTTCCCAGGACACAGGGAAGCTCAGTTGGTTTAGGACCGTGAAACCTCTGGGCCAGATAACGGTAGCTCCAACTTCAGACATGACGAGACTGGGCTCTACTTTCTCAAACATCCATGAGTCTCAGTTTAGTCTCTGGATAGAGAAGCCTCCAACTTACAGGTTGAGCATTGAACTTTCCAGGGCTGAAGGAAGGTGGTGATTACCTCCTACTTCCTCGCTCCTGTCTGACAGAGGGGAGCGGGGGTGTCTGCCTTGACAGACAGCTGTCTGTAGAACCGGAGAAGTGATAAGAGACAGGCAGGAGCAGGTTGGCTGCCACCATCTGATCTTACCGACTGATGGAAGCTGACCAGTGGGCTAAGTTCATGGTTATATGCTCAGTGTTCATGATGAATCGTTACTGAATCAAACAGGACTGAAATGCATGCAGACCCTTTAAGGTCTAGAAATTGGCACTTTGACTCAGTGATAATGCTCAGGTGAAGAGATGGGGGACGGCAGGGGTTGAGGTGGGGGTGCGTAAGGAAGATGAGGGTGGGATGTCCCTGGGCCGCAGGTGTCTCACTTTCAACATGCGTTGAAAGCTCAGACCACCAAGAAAACGAAAAGCCTGAGCCACTTAGCATCCAGTAAGCCAGGAAAACTGGGACTGGACACACACGTTCTTCTTCTCTTCTAGCAGGCAGTCAGCCCATCATCATTCCTTCTTACCCTTCTCCCACCGGTCCTCCTACCAGGAAGGAAGGGCACGGGGGAGGGGGTTGTCCCAGAACGTAGTCACAGTAGCTCAGCAAACGTGAGCATCTTTCTGTCATGAGGAAAGAGGAGGACCTTCTGCCCCTCTTCCTCACAGGGTTCTGAGATTCAAGTGGCTGCCCATCAGGGTGGAGGGCTTCCATAAAGCACTTGAGCACCCACTGGCTGCCATGCAGTTTGAATCCGAGACAACCCCTCACTGCTCTTACAACAGATCGCGTGATTGACGCTGCTGCCAAAGGGCCAGAGTGTGTAAGACTGGCACAGGGTTTTGTCAGAATTCTTTCTGGTTCTTGATAAGCTTTAGCCTCCGGTCTATCCTGGACCACAGTGCTCTGAGCATCATGACACTGGTAGACGGGCAGTCACTGAAGACAGTGCCAGCGTGTCTTTAACAGCTCACCAGTAAATCTTAGGATATCTACATTTCAATGTTGTGGATGGTGCTAACTTAAGAATGGATCAGTAGTATTTTTTTTTTCCACGGTTGAATCAGTAATAACTCTAACAGGATCTCAGATTCTTTGTACATATATATGTCATTAGTTTTTATTTTCATTTTCTCTGAAACGTAGAAAAAAATCTCCTGTCTGCAGGTTCATTCTGCAGATTCCCACAACAGCTGGAACTGAGCCAGGCAAGGCCAAGGCCACTGGTTGGCAACTCAAACTGAGTCTCTTGCGTAGATGCTAAGGACCCAGTTACTTGAGCCCACCACTCCTAGCACTTTTGACTTTTTTAGGAAGCCTGAAACCTAACTAAGAAGGCAGGCATTGAATGCTGGTTTGACATGCCTGCATCTTCTAATCAGAGTGCCAGGATGTTAGTCCCAACACTGCTTATGTTATGAATTGAGCTTCCTGCTAATGCGTAGGAGGCAGCAAGTGAAAGCCCAAGTACGTTGGCACCTACACAAGAGATCTGAATTGAGTTCTTGGCTTCTTCCTGTGTCCTGGCCCAGCCCTAGCAACTCTGGGCATCTGGCATAATGGCAATAAACTAGCAAATGAAAGATCCATCTCTTCCTGCTTCTCAACTAAAACTTTTGGAACGTGTTTGTAAGTTGGATATTTGGGAGATCCCTGAACATGTATTGGAGAACCTGGATGTTCCAGAGAAGTTTGAAGCCTTTGCTATGACCTGAGACCTGTCCTCCCCCTCACCTGTATCCAAAGAGGATCCATCCTGGTTTGGGAGATGAGCCTCGTTAGCTCTGATAAATATGTCCCCATGATGCATTTGACATGTTCGGAGCTTATAATAGCTCCAACCGTAACAATGTGTTTTCAAATGCGATGTTTTCCTTTCATGTGGCATGCCAAGGTTGGTCCAATGCCAGGATGTCCAGGAGTCCCGTTCTGCCTTGGCTGATGTCATCTTTGAGGCTGACATGTACACCTCAACTGCATCCCTCTCCTTGCTTGTGCATTCCCTTCATTCCTCTTGCTGGTCTCACTGCACCTGGCTAAGACTGAAGAAGGTAGACTCAGCTGAGCCTGGGAACCTGGAGTCCTCCCACAACACAGCTCAGCATCCCTGGGGACCTTACGTGGTGTCCTCAAACATCTCTGCAGCTGAGGGCATCAGGCTGTAAGCCGATCTACCCCAAGATCCAGTGTGGGCTGGTTAATGCCTGCTTATCAAAAGGCTCATGTATACCCAGACCATGAGAATTAGAACCTTCTAGCCTGGGGCAGAACCAAAATTTCTATGTTCTGGTCCCGGGGCACCTGCGAAGCTGTTTGGGATCTGGAACCTGCCTTGTTCGTGAGTCAGAGAGCCTCTGCAGGGTTGCATTCTCCCTTCCCAGTGATTCTACTTTGGAAAGAAAGATTTCCTTTGGAACCAAAGGCTGCCAAGCATTAGCCTTCGTTGTGTGAGGTTTGGAGAAAAGGGGACAGTGTGGCAGTCAACTTTGCTGTGCTGCGTGCATCTTTGCAGTTGCAGGGAGATGAGGGTCCCTCGTATTCAAATCCAACCCCTCAGCAGTTGCCAATCTTGGCATCTCGGGCAGGTAGCGAACACACCATACCTGCTGGGCAGCTCAGGAGCTGAAAGGAGTGCTGTGCCCCGAAGCCTTGCGGACAACAGTCATGGGACGAGCACTCTGGGAAGGGCATATTGCATGTTCTTAAGGAGAAAGCTGGCGCAAGTCAAGAACCCTCACAAGGAACGAATTCTCGTGCCACAGCCATCCAACAAAATGGGTTCTGCCAAGAGGTTGCCGAGTCACAGTGGGAGGTGTGGCCGGTCACCCGTGTGGATATGTGGGCGAGCTCTGACTGCAATTTAACCCCGAACCTGGGGGTCCTCAAAGAACTTTTTTAGATGGGACCTCTTTAATGTTCAGTAACTACGGAAGTAAGTAGTCCCTGATCTGCCTTTGAAGTTGCTTCAATCTTAGAGAGGGTTGAATCCCAGCAAGGTCAGACTCCCTGGCAAAGCCTGCTGCCCTAATGAAGCAGAGGTACACACGGGAATCACATTGGTGTAGGTGACTGACCCCTTCACCAGCGGCCCTAGCTAATCCCCTCTCCCACCACGCAAAGGTCTACAGGTGGAACGCGTGCATACCTAATGAGCCCTGAGGGACCCAGAGGGAGTGCACCTGCATGTACCCAGCACTTGGAGCCACACACTTCCAGCTGGTCTTCTTTGCCCTCCTGTTGTATCTCGGCGTGTTTCTTTTGCTTCGTGTCATTGATTGCTTTGGATAGATGGGACAGGAGGCTAATGTGATTGAATAACTCTCTTCATCAATTCCTTGTTGTAGACTATTGGGGAGAGTCTTATTACAGTGACCTCATCGACTTGCATCTGGGTGGTATGTATGGCAGCCTCTGTTGCTGACACTAATCCCGTCGATCGCCTTCCCCACCTGCTCTTCCCAGTCCCTGCTCCTGACCAAGGAAAAAGCAACCTGATAATCATGGCATAAGCACAGACCCTTTTCCAGCTTGTCATGGGGGCAGCATGCCAAATCCTCAGGGAGATTTGAGAATTTCACCTGCTCCGTTCCCTTCAGCCGGGCCATCTGCATCCTAGTCTCCTTGATACGATTTGATTGATGGAAAGCAACACAGCAATCCGTGTGTGTGCGCGCGCATGTGCACACAGGCACATCCAAATCCAACATGGCTTTTCCCCCAAATCCCATCCCTCGCGTTGGGGGGCGGTGGTTATCACACCGACTTGGGGGCTTGCGGCCAACCAGACTTCCACAGCCGAGTGTGATGGGCTCAACCTCGAAAATTCACCAGGCTGGGTTGCAGTTCTCCCAAATCAAGATGCATGGGAAAGGCTTCCCCCGTTGTGGTCTCTGCCCAGATCCACCGAGCCTTTCACAGAGCTTCTCCCTCCTCTGTCCTGGGCCTGAAGACAAGACCCACCTAAGGCAGAGTTTCTCAAAATACGATCCCTGGAGCAAGCATCCCCCGTGAAAGATCCCAAGTGCAGATTCTCAGGCGCCACCTTCCAGATCCTGCGCTCCAGTTGCCTGTGTTGCGAGGTCACTTCCAGTGTCTCTGATGCCTTCGAAGGTAGAAGGACCGCTAGCTTAAAGGAAACCAGGCTG